TTCCTGATTCAAACTCTCACCTGCACCGGTGGGCAGGGCCGGCGGGCTGGCGGAAGCCAGGGCGGGAGGCAGGAGTAGAGCAGGAACGCAGGGTGGCCTCCATCTGTGTCAGGCTCTACCCCCCTGCCAGACTTCCAGCTCCACCCCGGACCTTGGGCAGAGGGCAGGGCTGTCCTGAGGAGCCGCAAAGAGGCCTCTGGGCCGGAAGGAACTGGTGCCGGCATCAGTGAGTGGTGAGGCTCTGAAAACACCTGACTGCAATGAAAAAAGGAACTCTCTGGATCTTAACAACCCAACACACGGTTTAGGCAGGTTCCATGCCAGAGGGAGGAAGGGGTGCACATTCCCTCCCCCTCAAGTCCTGATGATGCTGGGCTTTGCAGAAACACCCTCAGAGGTGCACAGCACCCAGCCTGTGGAAGATCTGTTCGTGATTGTCTCCTAAGTGTCAGCTCTGTGCTGTGTCTCGCGACCCAGAGTGAAGTCCAAGTGTCATTTTCTACGTGACGTCACTGAGGCCCCACAAGGGTAAGGAGCTGGCCTCTGGTGGATCAGTGATCAGGAGACAGAGCCAGGGCTAGTGGGAAGAGAGCTGTATGGCCTTGACTCATGGCTCCTCAGTGGGCTGGAGCTTGAGGGTTAAGACCTTGATAATAATTGTAGCAGGAATACTACATGCCGCTCACACTAGGGGCTCCGTCTAAGTTCCTGCCATGTGCTGGCTTGCTTCATTCCCACACACCCCTACAAGGTAGGAATTTATCATCACCTTTTTACACTTGGGGAAATGGAGGCACAGAGAAGTTAAAGAACTTGCCCAAGGACACACAGCTACTAAGTGACAGAGCTGGGACTTGAACTGGGCTATTGGACTCCAACACCTGCTCTTGACCAAATGCAAGTGAGAGGCTGCGGGGAGACAGTCTGAAGTGATCTGCATGCCCTGACCAGGGCATGCTGCTCACGTGCCGTGGGGAAGAGGGCCTCCTTCGGTCTGACTCTTTGCGCCCAGAATCCCACATGGTCAGCACTGTATCTGTCCCCACCCACCTGTCCACTATGCAGATGGGAACGTGAGCTCAGATTTGCCTTTGTGTGTTTTTTTGTTGTTGTTTTGCCGCACCATGCAGCATGTGGGATCTTCCCTGACCAGGGATCGAACCCATGCCCCCTGCATTGGGAGTGCGGAGTCTTAACCACTGAACCACCAGGGAAGTCCTGGGAATGTGAGCTCAGAGATGGCAGGTGACTGGCCCAAGGTCCCACAGCAAGAATACAGAGTCCCTGGCAGGCTGAACACTGGACACTCAACGGTCTAGGGGGTTGGGAGTGCACTCATACCCCCACCCCGCCCCCAGGAGACATCCGAGGGGCAGGCAGCTCCCCAGCGGGCACAGTAGCAGCAGAGAGGAGCTTTTCTCCCACCCCCCCCAGTCCCCGACACCCGTGTCCCAGGTGGATTCCACTCCATTGCCGGCCCTGGGAGTTCTTCCCAGATGGAGCTGTGCTTGTGAGAGGGAGCGGGGATAGAAATCAGTTGTTTCCATAGAGAGAACCTTCAATATTGAAATCGACAAGTTAGTGGGTACAGCCCAAGGGCAGGGGTGTGTGGCAGCAGACCCAGGTCCTAGGAGGCTCTGCCTCTAGGCACCTGGCTGCCCCGAGCGAGTTGCTCTTCTCTGAGCTCCTGCTTTTCATCTGTACAAAGAGAACAGGGGTCCTACTGCTGGAAGAATGGATCCAACTGCCCTGAGGGCGGCAGGAGGGTGAGAGCAACAGGCGGGGAGGGACGATGGCTCAGCTGACCTCCTCCCACCAGAGAGGAATCACAGGCCACCATAGCCGAGCCACTGACCTGCTGGGTGACCTTCACCTCCCTGCCTTACCAGGATTGGCTGGGACAGCTATGATGACATTCGCACCATACACCCCGGATTTTCTACGGAGGAAATGCCTTGAGACAGGTGGGAGTTGAGGAAAGGACCTGAAAAGGAAGAAATGTCATCAGTCAGATGACTGTAATATCCCAGCCTCTCTGGAATGGTCCCCAAACTCTGTGCCACATGAATGTGCTTTGCTTAAACGAACGCAAGTCCCAGATGCCAAGGCAGCAAATGAGATCCAGCTCCTGGCAAAGGCTCAGTGGCCCCCCAGCAGCTCCCCTGATTTCGTCCTTCCCCTTCCCCGTGGCCTGTGTCAATCCTACCCAAGAGGTCCCGCCAGGTGGAGTGCTCCAGGCAGGCCCATCTCCCCTGGAGAAGAAGGGCTGGTGGCTGGTCCAGAAGGGACATCACATCCATCTGACCCTCTCCTGCTCCCCAAAGCACTGGAGAGGACACCACCATGGGTAAAACCTCTCACTGTGGAGGCAGAGACCTGCCTGCTAGCTGTGTAACCTTGGGGAAGTTGCCTGGCCTCTCTGAGCTTGTTTCTTCATCGATAAAGTGAGGACAACAGTGCCTTCCTCCTAGGTCAGTTATCAATATTAAGGGTGGTACTTGCAGGTAATGCAAGTAAAGTAGGTGCTCAGTAAGCTGTCGTTCTCATCATTGTTATGCTTGTTTAAAAATGAACCTGCAGTCTGCGCAGACCCAAAACCGATCTCACCTTTTTCTGTACCATTTCCACATTATGCTGATCACGTCATGGGCTAAGGGTTTGAATCTGGCATAGACTGATCTGGGTCCAAGTCCTGGCTCCCGGCACTTGTGTGACCTCGGGTGGGTGATTTTTACCCCTCAGAGCCTGGGTTTCCTCCTCTATAAAATACGGGTGATAATCATCACACCTCCTCTTGGGGTTTTTATGCAAGTTTCATGCAATGATGCCTGTGAGCCCTCAGCTCAGTGTCTACCGGTAGGCTCGGCACTCCACGACTGTTTGGGATCCTTGTTTCTGTTATTATTAGACTGGGACCCCACAGTGTCCAAAACTAGTGGTTTCCACAACCTTGGCATCCTCATAGCAACACTGTGAGGCTAGGATTTTCACCTTCATGCAGAAGTGGAAACTGAGGCTTAGCAAGTCTCTGCTCTGGAGCTCAGTAGGGGAGCAGGGATCAGTAAGGGGAAGTGGGTCCTGTCTGCTCCACTGGGGTTCAGCTGCTTGAAAGCACAGGAAGCTTCACTCTCCCAGGCGCAGGTGGGCACAGCGTCCCGCCCACTGGCTTCTGGACCCACGGTCTCTTTCAGACCCACAGAGCAAATCCTCTCCTGAGATCTCCGGGAGCCCTGCCCAGACACCAGATGAAAGGCAGAGAAGAGTCCAGGAGCCCTGCAGTCTCGTGACCTCAGACAGGCTGATCCTCTTGGTGCCTCAGTTTCTCCATCTGAGTGTGAATCACATCGAAAGTGTGAATCCTGATTCCACCACTGATTCAGATTGGGCTTGAACACATTATCTCCCTCTTCTTAGTTTCCGTGGCTTCGCCTATGAACAGGGGCTAACGGAAGAATGGGATAAGGGGGTGTTAAGTGAACAAAGGAGAGCATAAGGCTGTAATTAGTGTGATTTAAATGCATTTTTAAAAGTCCGTGTGTGTGTGTGTGTGTGTGTGTGTGTGTGTGTGTGTCTGTGTTTGTATCTACTGTTTCAAAAAGACAGAGAAAATTTATTAAAATGTTTCTAGTAGTACTCTCTGGACACTGGGCTCATGACTGATTTTTACTTCCTTTTGTATACTACATTTTTAGTTTTCCAGTTTTTCTACCATGAGTATGTGTCTCTTACAATCAGAAATGAACAATTAAAGGCATAAATAGTCATCCATATGGCTCAGGGTGGTCCGAGGATCACCTGTGGACACCCCCAAGGAGGCCTGTGAGCCGCCAGGTGACAGCAAACGTTCCCTTTGCTGACTGTGCTCATGCGCCCCTCCTGGGCACCATCGGGGTGACGTTGTGGTTCCCACGGGCAGGCCCTCTGGCTGGGAGCAGAGGGACCCGTTGCCTCTCAGGGCTTCCCATGAAGATGTGACTTCATCTTGGCTGAAGACACAAAAGGAACTGAAGATTCCTCGTCAACCTAAAAGAAGGAAAGTAACTAGAAGCAAAGACCTGGCTTCTAATTCCACTGCCTCCCTTTCTCCCACCTGACATTAGGCAGGGCACCTGGCCTCTCTGGCCTCAGTTTCCCAGTCTCTAAAAGGGGATTACACCATGCTTGCCTCACAAGGGTTTTGTGAGGATCCAATGAAACAGCAGTTTTGCCTGCATCTTGCCTCCCCTCCTCTTGAATCGTGTGTAAGAGGTAAGACATCAGGTGTTTGGTGCACTTAACATAGGGCTTTGGTGGAAGGTAAATTAGTAACAGTTTCAAATCATCATCTCATCCTGCTGTTAACAGCCTGAAAGGTCACACGCAGGTTGATTTGGGAACCTCCTACCCAGTGCTGCTACTTTCGGGCAGTTGGGACCACCTTAGATGCCTTCTGTGCTCCAGCCCATCCTGCCTTCCTGCCTTCCCCTCCGCGGTTCCGCCTCCCAGACCTTACCTGAGGGCAAGACTGCATCCCAACTCTGGGTCTTTACCGTCCCTCACACCCCTATTCTCTGCATCTCAAAAATATTTTAAGGGTGAGTTTACAGGCCACCTCTTCCAGGAAGCCCTCCGTGCTTCAACCAACGGATCTGAGTTCCTGTGCTGTCTCTGAGCCTCTCTTATGTATCAGTTTCAATGAACTACTTATACCTGTTTCACCCACTGCACTAAGAGTTTCTTGAGGGTAGGGTGCACATCTTACCGTTCCCCACACCCTAGGGGCCAGCACAGTAGGTCTCAATAAAGCTTTACCGAAAGAATGGCTGCAGCTCACAGTGTCTGAAGAGAGTATGTGTCTTTTCCCATCAGATATAAGCGATGAAAGGGACAGAGTGATATTTGTCCCTAGTAGTGCTTGTCCCACAAATCGCTTGTTACCTTAGTGAGTAGGGATGATTTTTTTTTTTTGGCCAGGATACCAGCTTTGAGACAGATGTCCCCATCACTTGCTGGGCCAGACCTTTGTTTCTACACACATCAAGGAAGCAAGTCAGCAGCGGGGACGAGAAAAAGAAGCCCTGACATGTTTGTAGCCTATCACATGTGGCAAGATGCCATTACACTACAAAGCACTAGGGCTCGGGTATCATATTTGGGCCTCGTGAAAACTTTGTGAGCTGGGCAGGGCCAGGCAGGATGCTTCCCCGTGTTTGTAAATGAAGAGGCTGAGGCATGATGGGATACCAGGTCTGGACTAGGGGTGGGTCTGGGTTTTCTGATATACTGATCCCACTGGGCCGTGCTGCTCCGTTACCTCTTATGTGAGCATCATCCTCACAAACGCTGGGCTAGAGAGGCCAGGCAGGGCTGCTGACCCATTTCACAGATGAGAACCCTGAGGGTGTGAGGCATGAAGCCCATCACAGCCTCGGCAAACAGAGGAAGAGTAAGCTGCAGGGAAGCCTGGTGGGGAGAGGCAGAGCGGGGGACCTGCCCTACATCTCTGAGCGGCAACATGCAGCCTCAGGGCTCTGGAAAGATGGGCGAGGGTCCCTACAGGAACTGGTTGTGTAGGGACCTCCAAGGTGAGAAGACAAGCATGGGCTGCAGCCAGGCCAGGTGGGCAGTGGTGTCCGGGCCTTTCTCTCTCTAGCCTCTCCTGTGTAGCATCTCCTTTGAGGTCACAGAACTCAGCGAGGGAGGCAGACCGGGGCGGTTCCCCCATTACAGACAGAAGACTGAGGCAGAGAGGCCAGCACACCAGCCTTGGATGCCACCTGCAAAACTGGCGGCGCCACCCAGAGCTCACAAGTCACCACCAGCTCCCACAACCATACCCTTTATGAAAAGTGCAAAAGAGATTTAAAAAAAAATTCTTTCTTTGGTTTTATACATATAAAAGGTCAACATCTGTGGGCGGCTCAGCAGTCCTGATCCATCAACTAGAGATGTGGTTGCCTTCGTTCAACGGGCGACACGGGATTCTGGAAATGGCCAAGAGTGGGGCCCCCAGGCAGGCAGCGTGGAGAGTCTGTGCCCCTCTCCTTCTCCACGCTCCTTCCAGCTGCCTCTGGGAGCTAGGGACCTGGTTTCACCTGGAGAAGGTGGAGGGGCGCTCAGCTGGGGGACGCGCAGGACGCAGGGCCTCTGCGTGGCTCCGCATGGAGGGCAAGCAGGCTGCCCGGCCCAGTGTGGCAGGTGCCGTGCGGGTCAGCTCAGCCCACCTGGCGGTACTGAAGGTGAGTCAGGAAACTGGAGGGCATCGGGCTCCTGAATGTTTCCAGACCCCCTGCGGCACTAGGCCTCGTCTGGCCCAGGAGGCCTAGAGTCAGAGACTCTGGGCTGGAAGGAACCATGAAGGTCTTCAAAACCACCCCTCCCCGCATCTGATGCCCTCCCCGCAGCGTAGCCCCCTGGTTTTGCTTGTTCACCTCCAGTGCTGGGGAACTCGGTCCAGGCTGGGACAGATTGAATTCGCACTGGCACCCTGTCACTTCCACCCCCTGGTCCTGGTTCTGATTCCAAGCAGGACGAGAGCAAGCTCACTCTCTGTGGCGGCCTGCAGAGGTCTTCCCATCCCTGGAGCTTCTTTGCTGAGGTTCCACACCTCCAGCTCCCCATCCACGCCCCAGCCTGGTCCCCACACCCTCCCCATCTCGGCCGGAGTCCATCTCAACATTCAGGGCCGGGTGGCTCTTGGGGCTCCAGTGCTGCACGGTCAGTGCAGGGGGATCAGTCCTGCACCACCTCCTTTGGGACCCTGTGCCTTTGTGGGCCCAGTCCAAGGTCCCGCCACGCTAAACTGATAGCTAGCCACGGTCAATCTGTCCGCTCGGCTCACGTCATGCCAGCCCCGGCCCATCATTGTGCCTTGGGATCTTGGGCGCCAAAGGCAGGACCTCAGTCATCTTGCTGAACCCCCACCCGAGCGGGTGCTCCCTCAGGACCCGGGTGCGGCTTGCTCGGCCCCTCCTGCCCTAAGCGTCTGTCTCCACGATGCACTTGAGGAACATGGTGTCGTCCTTCACGTAGGCATGCTTGGGAGACTGCAGCTTGTTGAGGGGGAAGAAGAGTGGGCAGCCGCTGGCCACATTGGTTTCGCTCTGGGGCCGCTGGAAGGATGCTGAGTTCAGGTCGGGCCGGAAGGCGTCGATGGCGTGCTCACGGTTGTTCTGGTCGAGCAGCATGAAAGTGACCTGCGGGGCAGGGGCCAGTGGGAGATCAGGGACGGGGTCTGTGCCTGTCACCCGTGCAGCCCCTCTAACCCTGAGCTCACACTGATCAGGAGTCAAAGAAACACGTAAGGACCACACATGGCGTACAGGAAGAGCCCAGAAACGGAAGCACCTGGTGCCATGAGCAGGCTTCAGGGGTGTCCCATGATTAGAGCTCAGGTGTTCTAACAGGAAGGGGGAATTCAGATGCCACTGCCAGTTGTGGTTGGCTGTTGGGGGCTAAAGGGGGGACTAAGCCCGGACAAGGAGGCTGGACTCCATAACCCAAGATGTCCCTTCCTGCACTGAGGTGTCTGTCTGATCCTTCAAACACAGCTGGACCCTCCCAGGCGAGAGCAGACAGGCCTTCCACTGAGCAGACGGCAATCAACACCCTGAAACACGAACCCAGCTTCTGGTCTGTACAGGGGCCCTGTGTGCCTCCGAGAAGCCAACGATCTCAAAGTGACACACAGCTTCCTCCCTGGCACACGTCACTGAAATGCCCATCGCCCACTGCAGCAGTCAGTTCTCAAACTTGGCTGCACTTTAGAATTCCCTGGGAAGGTTTGAAAACTCCCGATGCTCACGCCTCACCATCTACGGGAGTGAGACCCAGTCATTAGTATTTTGAAAATCCCCCCAGCACATATGGGAACCACTGACCTACTGACTCATAGCCAGACCACTGCGGCACTACCGCTTCCACCCCACCTGCTCACCCTTATCTTCCTCCACCCAGCTGAGGTGTGGAGTCCACACCCTCCCCTTCCCTCCCCCACTCCCTTGCTGCCGCCGTCCACCTGCGGGGAATCCCTGCCACACTCCCACCTCCGGCGGCCCTTTTAAGCATTTTTAACAAACTTTATTTTTCAGAGCAATTTTAGGTGCACAGCAAAATTGAATGGAAAACACAGAGATTTCCGAGTACATATCCCCACACGACCTCCTACACTGTCAACATCCCCACCAAAGCGGTACATTTGCTACAGGTGATGAACCTATGTTGACGCATCATATTCACCCAAAGTCCCTAGTTTAAGGTTCATTCTTAGCGTTGTACATTCTATGGGTTTGGACAAATGTATAAGGACGTGAATCTTATCATTATAATATCATTCAGAGTATTTACACTGCCCTAAAAATCCTCTGCGTTCCACCCATTCATCTCTCCTCCCCTCCATGAAATCCTGGCAACCACTGATCTTTTTACTATCTCCACAATTTTGCCTTTTCCAGAATGTCATATAATTGGAATCATACAGTATCTAGCTTTTTCAGATGGGCTTCTTTCACTCAGTAATATGCCTTTAAGCTTCCTCCGTATCTTTTCATGGCTTGGTAGCTTATTTCTTTACAGCACTGAATAATATTCCACTGTCTAGATTTACCAGAGCTCATTTATCCGTTCACCTACTGAAGGACATCTTGGCTGCTTCCAAGTTTTGGCGATTATGAATAAAGTTGCTGTAAGTATCTGTCTGCAGGGGTTTTGTGTGGATGTAAGTTTTCAACGCATTTGGGTAAACATCCAGGAGTGTGATTTCTGGGTCACATGATAAGAGTATGTTTAATTGTGTAAGAAACCGCCAAACTATCTTCCACGGTGGCTGCGCCATTTTACAGTCCCACCAGCAGCAAGGCAGAGCTCCCGTGGCACCACATCCCCGCCAACATCGGGTGTTGTCAGCGCTTGGGACTTGGGCCATTCTACAAGGTGTGCAGAGGATCTGCCGCCTCCTCCCCTTTTCCTGAGAATGCTGTCAGTTCAGGCCAGCCCCACAGGACCTCCTCCAAGAAGTTTTCCTTATTCACCCACCACGTGAACTTCATCTCTACATGTCTTCCAGGGTCGCTGGTCCAAACATTTTAGCTCCTAGACCCAGAATGCAGCAAAGAGCCTTGGCTACTAGATGTGAACTCAGGCTCTTGTTTTATGAGGGAAAACTGACAGCACGGAGGGCAAAGGATCTGCCGAGGTCACACAGGCAAGTTCATGGCTAAATCAGGATCAGGACCCAGGTTTCCTCCATCCCACCCCCACTGTCCCCCAGGCCCATACCTTGTTCCGGAAAGGCCACGGCAACAGAGCATCATACTCCCCTCTCATGATCACGATGAAGAGGGACAGGTGGGTCCTCTTCCCCGTCCCGTCCCCATTCAGGTAGAGCCGCAGGCACAGCTTGTATCCGTACTTGGCAGTGTAGAAAGCTGAAGTGAGGAAGCCAGAGTCAGCGCCGAGGCAGCTGGAGAGTGCTAGGCCTTGCAGGTGAGGAAACTGGGACTGACAGTCAGGCATGCCCAGGTCATGGCTCAAAACTACAAAATCGGGACTCCCCTGGTGGCACGGTGGTTAAGAATCTGCCTGCCAATGCAGGGGACACGGGTTTGAGCCCTGGTCCGGGAAGACTCCACATGCCGCAGAGCAACTAAGCCCGTGCGCCACAACTACTGAGCCTGTGCTCTAAAGCCCGCAAGCCACAACAACTGAGCCCGCGCACCACAACTACTGAAGCCTGTGTGCCTAGAGCCCATGTTCCGCAACAAGAGAAGCCACCGCAATGAGAGGCCCGCACACCGCAACGAAGACCCAATGCAGCCAAAAAAAAAAAAACCATAAAAATGAAATCTGGGGATGGAGCTCAGCATTCTTCTCCGTTATAGAGCATCAAATCTTGGAGATCATCTGGCCTGGTGGCTGTCAAAGGCCATCAGAATCAGATTGCCCCTGGAGCTTCTGACTCAGTAGTGCTGGGGTGAGGACTGAGAACTGGCATTTCTAACAGGGGATAGAGATGCTGCTGGCCCTGGGATCACACTTCTGATTTAACCAACCTGCATTTTGTAGTCGGGAACCCAAGCCCAGCAAGGGGAAGTGGCTGGCCACAGTGTCACAGTGTACTGGGGGCAGAGACAGAATTAGGGGCCAGGCCTCCTACCTCCCAACACGGACTTCTTTCCGCTGCCCTAGGCCAAGCGGTGGGGGTCTCCTGGAGGCTGGGAGAGAGTGCGGTGAATCACAGTGCTGCCGGCCACCGCTGGCAAAGGCCCCCGGGGTGAATCATCCCCTGGTGATCAGGCACAGGGGCCTGTGGGCTCTCTCCCTGGGCAGCTGAAAGAGCCATCTGAGTGTGGGTTCCAGTAGCCGTCACCATGAGGGCCCTTCTGGGAGGGGCTGAGCGGGGACAGGGTGTGGAGGGTATGCGGGAAGGAGTGGAGGAGGGACAGGCTGACAGTCTGACTCATCTGTGCCCCTTGTGTTTTGGTAGAACAGGAAGCCAGAGACACTGCTTGCTTTTTCCCTCTCTGGAAAGAAGCCAGGACAAAAAAGCTTATGTGTAGGAGGCGAGGCCACCCCCTGAAGGGGTTGTCCCTGTTCCTGAGGAAAGGGGGCTGGCTTTGGGACCCAGCCTGCTCTATGGTGTGGGGCAAGCTCCCATGCCCCTCTGAATCCCAGCACTGTTGACCTTGGGTGTGTCGGAGGAGCAGATGGCCAGGAAAGGCACGAGGCTGGAGCAGATATGAGTGGTGGTTAAAACTGCCATGGGCAGAGATCCTCCTTAACGACCCACCCGTTTACTTAGAGGCGCGCGAGTGAGGCCAGGGGAAAAGCACACAGGTCTGAGCACAAATACACACATTGTTACACTGACAGCTATCAGTTAATTAGGAGAAACAACAACCGAGTAACTGCCTACTTCATGCAAGACATCGTGCCAGGCCCAGGGGCCCCAGAAACGACTAAGAACTGCCCCACTGTACACGATACTCAATCACGTGCTCCCCACAGTGGTACACAGAGAGTTCTCCACTTGTCTTATTTCAGACCACGGGGTCTCTGAGGGCGGGGCCCCATGGTATTTACCTGTGAAAGTCACCCTGGGCGTCCCTCGCATCTACACAAACTTTGGTTCACAGCGCACTCTCTTTCACAACCGATATCCACACAACGTAGATCATTTTATTCCTACTTGCAGACCATGACGGACGTCCAGGGAGGTATGCCTGGTGCAAACAGCCCCTGATCCACACGGCTGAGCGGGGAGGGGCCTACTACCTCCGCGGGCCTGGTAGGGCCGGGGGCCCGAATGGACACTGGCCTAACTGGACGCAGCCCACCTGTCAGAGCGGAACCCGCCCCCCCCCCACCGCCCGCCTCCCCCAGCTGCTGTCTGTGCCCCCGGGGAGGCCTTACCTGGGGAGAAGAGGCTGACGGTCCTGCCGCAGGCTGACTCATGGCACCGCCTGGTGACACTGGTGACCTTCCATAGGAACGTGCCGTCGTAGGAGGCCTCTTCCATGAGGCGGAAGCTCTGCTCCAGCTTGACCAGGGCCTGGTCTTTCTGGGCCAAGGTCTGCTGCAGCTCCATCACCTGGGGCGGGGAAGCCCATTCAGCCAGGGGCACCAGAATCCAGCTTGGCGGTGGGATGGGGACAGTGGGATATAGAGACAGAGCTGCCCCCGAATTTGCTTTCCTTGCCTCCCTCAGCCACGTGCATCTGCCTTTGTACATGCCGTCCCTCCTGCCTGGGATTCCTTTCCCTTCCTTGTCCACTGGCCAACTCCTGTTCGTCCGTCAGGAACCTGGCTCACAGGGTTCTTCCTCTGCAAAACACTTAACCACTGCCCTAGCTCAGCTGGTTTCTCTCTTTCATCTTCGATCTTATAGAGGCTTTACAACCATCTGAGATACATTTTTCTGCCTTTCCAACAGGATAGATGGTCTCCCCTATCAACGGCTGGGCCCATGCTCATTTTATCTGTGTCCGTGCCTTGCACAGTGCCTGGCACGTAAGAGTAGAGCCAGGAAATTCGTTAATGAACTGAAGACACAGTCACTGCCCTCGGGGAGGCCATCACCTTCCAACTGGGGCAAGAGTTACATAAATAAATCCTTTACTTCACCACCCAAACCCAGTGCCTGGCTCTTCTGGTAGGTTCCTCCACTGACATTTGAAAGAATACAAATTTTTTCTTGGGTGTACTCAGGTAGGGAAGTCAGGAATGGAAGTGAGTGTCCTTAAAGAAAACTGAAGCCCTAATTTTACGGATGGGAAAGCTGCAGTCCTGTGATTTGCCCAGATCTATACAGCAAGTTAATGGTGGACCTGGAACGAAAATCCAGGCCTAACTCAACATGAGATGGTGAAGTAATGTTGCTGCCCCCCCAAAAAGCAACATTAACATTGTGACTGGTTATATTAAGAGAAGTACAAGCTCTGGAACAAAGGAGGGGACAGTCTGGTGCAACCAAGAACTGTCAGGTAAGTGGATTATCTGGTGGTTTGACACCACCACTCTGAGTGTGTGGAATCCTTTAGAGGCTGAGCCAGCACCTATGAGGACAGCATGAAACGATGTGCTCTGATGAAGTGGTGAAGGCACTGGGGGTGTTTAGCCTAAAAAAGGAAACACTCAGGATATTATTACTGATTGCTCATCTCTGAAGGGCTTCCATGGGGGCTAGAAGTCAGATGTTTTGGGGGCCCCGAGGGGCAGGGAAGACACAGGAGGCTGATTTTAGTTAAGTATGAGGGAGAACTTTCTAGCGGTGCAAAATGTCCAGCTGTGGAATGAGATGCTTGGGGTGGGAATAGTCTATTGCAGAAGTTTAAGCAAAGGAAAGGAAGCACTGGACGGGGGAGTTTGACCTTGACTATAACTTCTGACTCAGTCCTCTTCCTAGAAGGCTGTGGGATGCAGGAGAGATATTTTTGAAGGAGGAGTGACTGGTCTGCACAGGGAGAATGCTTAGCAGGAAGGCTGGTCCTCTGCTCTGGAGACAAGATGGGGTGGCGGGGCGGTCGGGGGGGGCCCTGAGCTGCCTTGAGGGTAAACGTGCCTCCCATGCTCACCCTCCGTTCCAAGCTCAGGATGTGCTCACGGCCCAGCCGGCTCTGGTGGATGGAGGCGGCCAGGGCCAGGTGGGAGGCCTCCACCTCCTTGTTGAGGACGGCGACAATGTTCTCAAACACGCACAGCTTCCCCTCCAGCTCAGTCAGGAGCTTCTCCTTCATGAAGTGCTGCAGGGCCAGCTCCTCCTGGCTCTCGGAGCAGGGGGCCCGGTAGCAGTCCACCTCTAGGTCCCCAGCTGCCTCCACAGCCCCCTGCAGCTGCAGGTCTGACAGATTCCGCTCCAGGGCCATGGGTCCAGACCCCAGGCCAGAGCCCAGCTGGGTCTTCCACTGTTTCATGAACCCTAACAGCAGGTTCAGGTGGGTAGCCTGGGAGGTGACCTCATGCTCCTGCATGAACTTTGGGCCCCCCTGCCAAGAGAGTGGGGCTGATCAGTGAAAACAGAGGGGGAGGGAGGACCAGGGAGCAGTGGAGAGTCCTGCCACCAAAGGTTGCCAAGGGAAGTCATATCCATTCACCCGGCCAAGGGAAGTGTACAGCAAGAGGGATTCGGAGAAGGACCCTGGCATGAGACATACCCATGATGAGCTGTGTCCATCCCAGCCTCCAGAGCAACAATTCTGCCATGTCCTTCAGCACAGTGATGATTCAGGACCATGGAGAGAGGCAGAGGGGTTTTTGGGGGTGCGGGCGGTGGTCATTTTTGTGATGCTACAATGCCCAGGTGAGACATTAAGAACTCCCCTGAGTACAAAGATGGTTTACTAGTGAATTTGTTGCTTGGGAAAGTCATGTAAGGTACATCCAGAGGCGTAGCTTGATGTTGTGGGAACATCCCGGAGGGGCTGATGGGAAGGTCTGAGACTGTAGTATACAGATCTCCTCTCTTACACACAGATGCTTACCTTGAAGGCGCAGCCAACACCTGCAAAGGGACACCCAACTCCAGCCTCAGCCACCTCGGAGTGATCCTGGAAATAAGAACCATGTCACTGGATGTTATGGGGCTCCCAGTGGCACTGGGGCTCTCTGCAAACCACCAGCATCCACCAGGCATAAGCTGGGCTGGGCCACAAAACTTTGCACATGCTGTTCCTTCTGCTTCAGCCATCCTGTAACCCTCCTTCAGAACAAGAGCAGGGCCCCTGCTGTGGTCCTGGGAAGCGCTGCCACCTCTCCTGCTGGGCCATATTCCACTCAGCCCTGTAATCGTCATTTGCTTTTTGGTTGCCCCCCCCGGGCCTGGGGGCTCTGTGAGGGCCTCTAACAAGCAACTTGACAATACTGTCAACCTGTGTGTAAGTCTGAGGAGTTCACAAAATGCTTTCATAGTCATAATTCTTCCTAGGGCCCCTAACAACACTTGGGGATAGCAGGGTAGGTTTTTTGTTCCCATCTGATTGATGAAGAAACTGAAGCTCACAGAGGGCCAGGGATTTACTCAAGGAGGAACAGCTAGGAAGCAGCACAGCTCCAGGGATCTTCCTACCCCATGTCTCTATCTCTTATCAAGAGTAAGTCCAGGGCTTCCCTGGTGGCGCAGTGGTTGGGAGTCCGCCTGCCAATGCAGGGGACGCAGGTTCGTGCCCCGGTCCGGGAGATCCCGCGTGCTGCGGAGCGGCTGGGCCCGTGAGCCATGGGTGCTGAGCCTGCGCGTCCGGAGCCTGTGCTCCGCGACGGGAGAGGCCACAGCGGTGAGAGGCCCGCGTACCACAAAAAAAAAAAAAAAAAAAAAAAGAGTAAGCCCAGGAGAGACTGGGAGAACACTTTTTCCTAAACATAGACCTGGAAAGGGCTTATATCCAGAATACATAAAGAACTCTTACAATTCAATAAGACAAACAACCTAATACAAAATGGGTAAAATACTGAACAGATACTTCACAAAATAAGATACACAAATGACAAGCCTATGTAAAGATGTTCAACATCACCAGTCATCAGAGAAATGCAAATTGTAACGAAATGCCACTGTCCACTCACTAAATGGCTAAAATTTACAAAGAACGAGAATATCGAGCTTTGGTGAGAACGTGGAGGAACTGAAACACTCATAGGTTGCTGGTGGGAATGCAAAATGGTACAATCGCTTTGGGAAAATCTATGGAAGTATCTCATAAAGTTAAATCATACATACATAAGACCGTGCTTATCAAGTTATCAGACAACCCACACATTCCACTCCTAGGAATTTACCCAAGAGAAAGTGAAAATATGTCCGGGTGTATGTAAATGTTCACGGCAGCTTTACTCATAAGAGGCCCACGCTGCCAGCAATCCAAGTATCCATCAACTGGTGGATGGATGAACAAAGTGCGGTATATCCGTACTCCAAGACACTACCCAGCAGTCAGATGGACTAAATTACTAATATGTGCGATAACATGCAGGGACCTCAAAACACGCTAAATGAAGAGAGTCCAACACCAAAGACTACATACTGGGATTCTATTCTTACAAGATTCTAGAAAAGGCAAAACTATAGTGACAGAAAATAGACCAGTGGCTTCCTGGGCTGCAGCTGGGGGAGACTGACTAAACAAGGGCACAAGGAAGCTTTTTCTGGTGCAGAAACATTCACCCTCCTGACTGCAGGTCACACGATTGTATACATTTCCCGGCATTCATCAGTCTGTGCACTTAAAATGAGTGAATTTTATTACATGTAAATAATATCTTGATTTTCCAAGAGCTTTGTTGTTGTTTTTAAGAATAACCTCATGGGGTGATGTGAAGGGAGATTTGGATGAAAGGAGGGGAGGACAGAGGTCTTTTGGGCTGAGCAAATACAAAGCCACACTAGTTATTCTCTAATAGTAAAATAAGTGAGAGCTATGGGCTTAATGAGTACAGTTGGTTTGGGACACAGAGCACAGCCCAGCAAAAGGCCACCCCCCACTTTGCCCCATTGCCCCGGGCTTCAAGCACAAGTTGCTCCCAACAAAGAATAGAAAACAGATGTTTTACTGGGGAGGGGTGTGTAGCCTTGTCAGGGAGACTGCAATGGCCTTGGAAAGTGCCCTGTGATGCAGCCTCTCCCAGAAGGTAGTTCCTGACATGAGGGAAGGATGGAGGGCCTGAGGCCAGGGAGGAAGCTGGCAAATGCACGAGGGGTCATCTCTCAGGCCCTGAAACTCCCTATGAGCCCATGATTCGAATCCTCTGCCGTTCTAAGGGTATATGCTTGGAGAGTCAGAGGGAGGTAAAAAGGTGAAAGTGATAGAACTAACGGTGGGAGTCCAGAATCACCCACAGGTGGAGAGGCACATGTTCCTTTGGCATCTGAGCCCTGTGGTGTGTCTGTGCAATGAAAGCCCATGCAGGCTGGCAAGTGCTACATGGGTGGAGCGGGCATCCTTATTACCATGTACAATGGGAGTGGGCTGGGACCAGCCTCTCATGTCTGGCAGAGGAGGGGCAGGGGGTAACTTGAGAGGCCGCTGGTGGCCAGCCAGGCTGCCCAGAGTCCCACCATCAGTCACTCAGTCTCTCCTTCCTTGGGGTGCTTTCCAGGGTTAAGGGGGTGGGCTCTGGAGCCAGCCTGTCAGGGTGCAAAGCGCATCTCTGTCACTTCACACACTATCTATGTGGCCCTGGGAGAGTTATTAACCTCTCCATGTCTCAGTTTCCTAGTCTGCAAAATGAGTATAATAACAGAACTCCCCCTTATAGAGTTATGGTGAGGATTAAATGCCATAATATATGTAAATTCTGACATGAGTGACCTATTGTGCTGTAACAAAATACCACAAACTTATTGGCTTAAAACAACCCCCACTGAGACTTCCCTGGTGGCACAGGGGTTAAGACTCCGCGCTCCCAATGCGGGGAGCCTGGGTTCGATCCCTGGCCAGGGAACTAGATCCCACATGCATGCCGCAACAAAGGAGCCCACCCACGTGCTGCAACTAAGGAGCCAGCGAGCCACAACTAAGGAACCCGTGAGCCGCATCTAAGACCTGGCGCAACCAAATAAATAAACAAACAACAACAAAAAGCCAACCCACAGTTTTTGGGTTGGCCAAAAAGTTCGTTCTGGTTTTTCATGTCATGGGAAAACCCGAACGAACTTTTTGGCCAGCCCAATATTATCTTACAGACCTGGAGACCAGAAGTCCTAAAAGTGAGCAGGATTGTGCCCCTTCTGGAGGTCCAAGGTGAGCATGTTTTCTTGTTTTTCCAGCTTCTGAAAGCCACCCGCACTCCTTGGCTCAGGGTCCCTCCCTCCATATTAAAAGCTAGCAGCAGAGCATCTTCCAATCTCGCTCTGATTCTGATTCTCTTGTCTCCCTCTTTTGGGGGCCCTTGTGATAACAACAGGCTCACCAAATAAGCCAGGGTCATCTCCCCATCACAAGATCCTTAATTTAATCACATCTGCAAAGTCCCTTTTGCCATTGTTATGGGCTGAGTAGTGTCTCCCCACCCTGAATTCATATAGGGAAGTCCTAGCTCCCATGAACATGACTGTATTTGGAGACAGAGTCTTTAAAAGAGGTAATTAAGTTAAAAGGAGGTCATTAGGGTGAGCCCTACTCCAGTATGACTGGTGTCCTTATAAGAAGAGAAAATTAGGACACAGACATCCAGAGGGAAGATGATGGGAAGATGCTGGGGGAAGAGGGTATCCACAAGCCAAGGAGAGAGGCCTCAGAAGAAACCAACTCTGTCTAGACCTTCTTGCCTCCAGAACTGTGAGAAAACAGATTTCTGTTGTTCACACCACCCAGTCTGTGGTACTTAGTTACGGCAGCCCGAGCAGACTAATAGAGCCATGTGAGGTAACATATTCACAGGTTCCGGGGATTAACACGTGGACATCTTTGGGGAGCATCATTCTGCCTGACGCGGTGCTCAGTAAAGGTTACCCATGATTAGTAGAAGTACTATTATTAGCAAAATTATTCCTGTGGATTAAGCACTGCCCTTGGGACATCTTTTTCCTTTTGCTAATGGCTGTCACATTCACGCGTCTCATTTAATCCTCACATCTCAAACTCTTAATAACTAATTCTGTAAAACCCTATTTTCCCACTGGAGGTTCTGCCTCTCGTGTAGGTGAGGAAGCTGAAGCTGAGATGGCCGGTGACTTGCAGGATGCAAGTTTGGGGCAAGGCTGTGGCGGAGGCCAGGGGCCTGGAATCTACGTCCAGGGTCCTTCCTCCCCACCAGGAGTCCTCACCTTGACTAAAGGGTAGCCTCATCTGAAGTCCAGGGACCGAGGGGACTGGAGAGGGAAGGGGCTGGGGTCGCAGAGGAGGAACGGGGCATCTGTCCTGAGCCAAGCCTGTGCCTGTCTGGTGCCACAGGAGGCCCCTGTGTGAGCGGTCTCATTGCCTGCAAACTGCTAAAAATAAAATTCGCAGTGGAATTTCCTCTGAGGAGGAAACAGAGAAAGCAAAATCCCAGCCCTGAGGGAACACTTGTCCTCCTGTCCACGGCCGAGAAGTCTGGGGGTGTGTGGTGTTCCCAGCTTCCCTGCTTACCCAGGCCCTTTGTGACGGGGTCAGCAGAGAGCTCGATCAAAGGGTCCCCACTTGGGGACCTAGGGGCCTCCGAGAATGTGAGTGTCAAGAGGGTGCCGGGAGCATGAGAGCTGCCTCCGTGAAGCTACTGCACAGAGCGGAGGGTCTGCAATGTGCCAGGCACTTCCCACGCTGCTGTGCTGGGCACTGAGGCTGGCCAAGGTCTTGGATGCCAGGAGGGGCTGTTTTTGCTTGGGTCTCAGCTAGTGCTGAGGGAGAGGCACTCGACAGTGACAGGGTGGACTCGGTCTGCTCGCCAGTTCCTGCCCGCCTCTGTACCTGAGCCAGTTTCCTTTCTGGCAATCTCTGCTTGGCTCAACTGCCACCTCCTCCAGGAAGTCCTGCCTGATTCCCCTAGTTGAAAGTAGTCTTGCCCATTCCTGTTTCCACAGCATTTGGTGGATTCCAGCACTTAAGGTGGACTGTGTATTTAAACCTGTGTAAAACATTTGGGGGTGATCCACCATCTGGAGGCAGCAGAGAGAAGATGTCAGCAGCCTAAGGGGCAGGAGTGGGAGCCTGGCTCTGCCCCCCCTTTGCTGTATGACTAGTGCAGGCACACCTCTTCACTGAACCTCGATATATTACCCACTGGTGAAATAGGGGTATCACCACTGCCCATGACACAGGATGTCATGGGATCGATAAGGTTACAGATGCAATTGTCAAGCTCAGAAGTGTAAGGGGGTTCATCTCCACGCATTGCATTTTAAAGGACACAGATATGCACAGAGGCTGAGGACAGACTCAAGATGGACGTGGTCAGCGTCCTTCCACAGACTCAGGACGGCCTCAGGGGACAGAAGGCTGACTGACTTACTTTTTGTGGCCCCAAGGGAGACAGACTTCAGCTCAGTACAAACAAAGAGGAAAATGGTACAACAATTAGTTCCCCATGGTGGAAGTGGTGGTTTCATGCAGTAATGAGCTCCCCGTCACTGGAAGGACACAAAGCCACTTGGCAGGAATCCAGTACAGAACGGAAATTGGACTAGACAGCTTGACCTCCTATTGTTTTCTGATTCTAAAATAGTTTAAGGCACTCTTGTAAGCCCCTGGCAGCAGCTTGCTTTTGACCTTCCTGAGTGACCTCAGAGGAAAGCGAGTGAGAGAAACAATCCCATTCACAGGGTCTCAGGCAGACAGAATTGACTGCTATTTCCCAGCCACCGGATCGTCCCCTACTTCATTGTCACTTCTGTAGGAAGGTCATTCCAGGCAAGAACCAAGTCTCTAACCAGGTCAACAGTTATCCTTTAACATCTGCTTCTTACATGAGCTAATCGGTCTCGGGCTTCCAGCACTTCTTAGAGAGACATTAATCTAGTGAAGTCAGAGGAGGAGGACAAACTGATAAGCAGATGGCATGGAAAGTGTTGCAAGAATGGGCACCTCGGGGCTCAGCTCAGCTGGTCTCCGGCCCGGCCTGTCCACCCCACCTTCACTTCCCAGGTTTCCCCAGATGCACAAACTGCAGAATCGCCACGTATGCGAAGTGTTGATTTATAATCAGCTGTTTTCCTTTGGTCAAAAGTCCCCCCAAAGCTCCCACCGGGTCAGAAGCTGAAGGAGTCCCTGGTCTTTCCACTTGTGGCTTTGTGCAGGTGTCAGACCACTGGCTCACCCCACCCCCCAGCTTTCCACTGGGGGTGTACCCTCCTCCCACTCTGTAGCCTGTTTCAGTGCCTGTAATTCCATCATTAGAGTCACTTCATTTGGTTTAAGGCAGCAAGTTTCAAACTGTGCTCTGCAGGGCCCTAGGAATCCCCAGTGTCTCTGAGGGGCTGGGACAGGAGAAGGAAGTGGGGTAACCGAAAGGACGGGGCTCCAGGCTCCCCTTTAATCAGAACGCTTCTACTTTCATCTGATTTCACATTAACAAAGATGAAAAAATTAAGACTACTGGGTTGAGAGAGATTAAAATATCTCATCTTTATGTTATCTAAGATTTGTACAATGAATCTGTATTCATTTTGTTAAGAGGCAAGAATAAAACACGTCAGAACAGCAGCCCTGATGCCTTCGGGCAGGCAAGTGCCTTAGAGAGCATCTAGCCCATGTCCTCTCTTTCGAGGGTGGAGTACAAAGATCTTAAATAGGGAGGCTTGGAAAGTTATTCCATGGGTGTTAATCCTATTAGCTCTTAACCACATTGTAGAGTATAAAGTTCTGGGGAAATGCACTGGATCCTTACTATTATTCCCTTGAGGACCTGCGGGGGGAGAGGGTTGCTGACAGGAAGACAGGAAAGCCCTCAAAACCAGCTCTGGTGGGGCAGGAAATTCCTCCAACTCTCCGCAGGCGAGGGGCCAGAGCGGAGAAGGGATAAGGAGGCGTGGAGAACTGCCTGCCTCTGGTTCCACAGCGGGAGGGAGAGCCGTCCTGCCAGCCACTGACTGGCAATGGGACATTGCAGATGCTGGAAAGACCCTGCACAGTCAACCTAGCATCTTCACTTTACAGGTGGAGACAGGGGAGTCATCTCAGCCATGCACTGAATTATAAAGCCATCCTCAGACACCAGTCTCCTGACCCCTGGGCCATGGTTCGGGCAAGGGTGGAGCTTTGGTTGAAAGGAGCCGGTGCCTCACAGTGTGGACAGTGCTGGTGGCCAAGTTGGCGAGGCCCTGGTCATGAGGGAGCTTTGCAATGAGACGCCCCTGTGGGTGTCGGGGCCCATGTGTAAGAGGGGGTTAGATTTACAGCAGGGATTCTTAAAGCTTTGGATTCACAGACCAATACCAGTTTGTTTGCTTTTTAAATTAGGAGATGAACATAAAGATTGCCATTTTAAAATTTTACTAAATAAAGGCTTTACCCCCGAATTCTATCACCTATCACAATCATTTCCTTTATACAAAGACATGAATAGGAAGGGCATCATCTCAGAGTAAAGGTTGACTCTATAAATGGAAAGAATTTACTTTTATAAGAAAAACTCATAACAATTTCCTTATTTTTTTTTTTCAATCATTTTTGTCATGAACTGGTGGGAATGGACCAGTGCTGGTCAACAGGTGGGAACCTCTGGGCTGGACAGATTACCTGCGAGGGTCCTTCTCCAGCTCAGAAGGGCTGGGGTTCTAAACTGATGCCTGAGGGTATCTCTTTGGCCCCTCACACTACCAAAGTTGCATCTTATTCCTGGAAGCACGGTTTGGCAGAGCCGGAGAAGTGAGATGAGGATGGCCTGTCCCTGTCTGAGGGCAAACAGGGCCAGAAAGAACTGTCTAGGTCAAGAGTTGGCAAACTTTTTCTGTCAAGAGCCAGAGAGTGAATATTTTGGGCTGTGAGGCCTCTGTTGCAACTATTCACCTCTGCTGTTTCAGGACATAAGCAGCTACAGGGACTTCCCTGGTAGCACAGTGGGTAAAACTCCACGCTCCCAATGCAGCGGGCCCAGGTTCAATCCCTGGTCAGGGAACTAGATCCCACATGCATGCCGCAACTAAGAGTTCGCATGCCACAACTCAGGAGCCTGCCTGCTGCAACTAAGACCCGGCACAACCAAATAAATACGTAAATAAATATTAAAAATAAAAAAGCAGCCACACGCAAGGCATATATACATGAGTGAGTTGTGGCTGTGAACCAATATAACTTTATGTAGGGACCTGGAAGTTTGAATTCCTTATAATTTTCATGTGTCACAAAATCTCATTCTCCTTTCAATTTTTAGAAACCTTTTAAGTGTAAAAACCATTCTTTGCTCGTAAGCCGTACAAACAGGCGGCAGCCTGAGTTGGGCCCGCAGGCTGTGGTGTGTTGACCCCTGTCTAGATGCTGTCCTCACCCTGAGTCTGTCACGGGTCGGCCAGGGGGCTTGGGGCAAGTTGCTTCCCCACCGCAAATGTCAGTCTCCTCACTGCTGACAAAATGAATTCAGTCTAGACTCAGACAAGGAAGGAGCCACCTGGCAGGGACTAGGTGGGCAGATACCTACTTGGCCTCTTCCCCTGCCAACGGAGACAACTGACAGACAGTCTTTCCTGGCAGTGCCAACTTACCTGCTCCTGAGACAGAAGGCTTCCTGGCCTCTCAGATGGTGTGTCGTCCCCTTTGCATTTGGGACAGATCCGATCCTCACCATTCCTGGGGACACATGAACAAATGCCACTGAGTGAGGCATTCACGACTCCATGGCATCAACCACCGTCCCCAGAGCTCCAAATGCCTAGCCCTTGCCCAGTGTGGCAGCTGACACCAATGAGCCTGCAGCTCCACCATCCCAGGCCCACCATTCCCAAACCAATGTTTTCCTGTAGTTTGCAGTGAGCTTCTCTGGCAGCCAAACCTGATCTGAAGTGACTAGAGGCTATTCAAGCCCCTACTTATCCCACTTAGTGTGAATATTTATGTTTGCAGAAATATTCATTGCTTGATTATAAGGTGCATCCCCAATTCCCGCTGGAAGAATTACACAGTAATGCACTGACTTGCTTTTCTAAAATCTGAAAAACTTCTCCATTCCAAACTACATCTGACCCCACGGGTTCAGATAAAGGATTGTGGATGTGCAGCTATATTAGTTCTTCTCAGCTTCCTCTATTTTATTTTGGTCTCTTATTTTTAGTAATTACAGATGACCATGGCCTCTCAGAATAAGAAGGGGCCTCCGAGAACACCTAGCCTGAGGTTCTTAACCAGGAGGGGGTGCCGGACTCTGAATGGGGTGACACATGGTCCTATGTGCTTTAACAAAGCTCCCAAGCGATCCGGTCCTCAGTGAGAGCCACGGGTCAGGCCCATTTTACAGGAAGGAGAATGAGGCCTCAGAGGACGTATGGATCCACCAAGGTCGAGGGAGGCAGGCGCAGAGCTGGGCAGAGCTCTTCAGGCCTCAGGCCTGGATCCCTCTCCCGCCTCTGCCGGGTTTTGGAAGGACAGCGAAGGAAGCCAAGAGACCCATTGCAAAAGCCTGAGATGAAGCCAGGATGGTGAAACCAGTCGAGCTTTGCTCCTCCCCCCACCTGCCCTTCTCACCACCACCTCTCTCCGCCTTCTCTCGGCCTCCTCCTTTGTGAAAGCATTGGAACTCCTCAAGCTTGCCTGAGAAGTTTCCCACCTTCTTAAACTGTAAAGTCCCAAACAAAGGTCATGCTGGGGGTGCACGGCAGTTTAAGAACACATCTGCCAGGAAACTGACCTGCGGCAAACTGACCTCATCTGTCCATTAGGCCTCACTGTCCTCATTTGTAAAATAGGGTAATAATAGTACCCACCTTTCCAAGGAGCTTCTGAAGACACAAGAGTGCTTGGCACACAGTTGGTACATAATAGTTGCTTAAGGTGGGATACTGGCGATCATATTGATGTCACCTGAGTTATTTATATTTTACATATAAATATACGCATATTTTAATATATAATATACAATGTAAATTATATATGTATATTTTATACACATGCAAAATGTGTGCATTGTATATATTTATATGCAAATATATACATTTTTTTTATATATACATCCATAAATGTATAATATATGAATACAAAAAATATCTAGTCCCCTTTAAAAGCATTCCCAGCAAACAGTCTGAGGTGATGGGTGATATTGTGGAAAAAGATATATTTGTACAGCAGTCTGTCATTTACCAGGGAGTTAATATTCATTATTACAAGGATTTTTTGGAATGTTATTGACTGGGCCTTGTAACAATCCTGGGAGGTAGAAAATCACTTTACAGGCATTTTACAGACAAGGAGGCTGAGACATCAAACAATTTGCACAGGCCACACAGTAAGTAGCCCAGCTGGACCCAGAGGCTCTCCCCCAGACCCCGGATGGCCTTCTGCTAAGGGAGCTGACGTCCTTCTGTGGCTACTTCTCCTCCCACCAACAGTCAGACGGGGCAGTGTCCGGGACCCTTGAGGAACAGGTGTGGAAGCTGAGGCCAGAGAGGTGAAGTCACCTGCCCAAAACCACAGCTCCTCTCACCCCCGCCTCCCGTGAGGGGTCCCTCCCTGGCACCTCCTTCCCACCCGCCTCTTCTCCTCCGACCCCTCACCTCACGTTCTCAGAGAGACAGACGGAGCAGCAGAGGGGCCTGGGCTCTGGTGGGTCCTGGCAGACGGTGGGGGGGCACCCAAAGGGGAACTCGTTCTCATCGGGGGCGGGGTGGCGGCTGCTGGCCGAGCCAGAGGCCATCTCAGGGTCCCAGGCTGGCTGGTGGGGGGCCCCTGTTCAAGCTCCTCTGGGGAGGGGACCAGCTCCGTGGAGTCTGTGCTGGGAGAAGAGGTGAGTGCTGGCCGGGCCACCCTCTCTGATGTGCGGGAGTCTGATGATTTTATCTTCTCGCTGGCTTGTGCGGTTCAACGTCACAGCTGAGTCACAGCAGGGATGAGACAGGAATTACCCTTTGTGGTGAAAAAAATCCCCTGGATGGCGACTGCAGGCTCTAGGAGTGTCCAGTCATTCTTTTGAGCAAGAGGGAGGGGAAAGCAAGTCAGAGAGAAAAAAGAACCGTGTCACGGACTTTCAGGAACCACAGTTAGAGTTTCCCCAGTCGGAGGACCTCAGGCTGCCACTGGCTTCCTCCACTTCCTCCCCAGGGGACAGGAGCAGAGAGAGCCCCTGTCGGTGACTTGTCTATGTTCCCTGGAACCTCCGAGCAGCCTAGGATACTCGGTGTGGGTGTTCACTGCCCCAGTGGAAATCCCCAGGGTTCTGGAGTCAGGTCCAAAAATGCAAGTTCTGTGCATATTAGCTCTGCCCTGTCCAGAGTATCTTAGGTAAAAGTCACTTTTGCACAGCGGGTCTCGGTTACCCCATCTGTTTAAAAAAAAAAAAAAAAAGGAATTGCAACAGGATTATCTCCAAGACTTCTCTGGGGTCTAAAATTCTGGGACCCCATGGCCAAGGCCAGCAGGAAGGCTTCTGATGGCCCAGCCCTGCCCGTGGCGTTCTTCATCAGTATGTGTGACACCTGGCCTCCCCTCTGAAGTCCGAGGCCTCAGGACCATGGACTGCTCAGGGCCCTACCTCCACGGCCCCACTCAGGAAGTCATAGGTGGCCACAGACTCGGATCAGGCGCCACCACTTCCTGGCCCTGAGAAGAACAAAGGTCTAGATAAATACAAGGTCACGAGGAGTTGGTCTCCGCAGCCAAGTGGGACGCAGATCCATTGCTGTGTGGGAAGCATGGCTCCTGGCACATCTACCATGCCCCAGGCAACATTTTCCTTCCTATTCCTTAGAGCAACCTGTTAGGAATTCCGCAGGCACGTGGAGGCACAGAGGAGCAAGATGCCTGGTCCAAAGTCACACAGCACCTGGTGGTACAGCACGATGACCACCAGGTCTGTGGGACTCTAAGCTCTGTGTTCTTCCTCCCATTCAAGAGAGGCAAAAACAAGGCAGCTTGGTGGAGCCTACAGAGCCCAGGATGGAGGTCAGAGCTTCTAGCCTTTGTTTCCTCACCTACCAAATGGAAAAGATGATCCCTCCACATCTTTCTATTCTGCTGGGCTGCTACTAGGGGTTTTGCAAACTTTCATAGTAGTTTCAAATCACAGGCTTCGAGGTCTGACAGATCTGAGTTGGGACCCCGAGTCCATCACTTACTAGCTGTGGGTCCTGGGACAAGGTCAGTAACTTCTCTGCACCTCAGTTTCTGCATCTGCAAAATGGGGTTAATATTAATACCTACTTCACCTGACTTGTAATAACTAAATGAGATCATGGGTGAAAGCATGGCATGGTGCACGGCCCAAGTGAAGTGCCCGAAAAACTTTGATATTGATGATGGCCACAGCCCTTCCAGCTCCTCAAGGTCATGAAGAAAGATTAAAATGGTAAGTTATGCTTGTATAGTGTTTTCACATCCATCAACTTTAGATGAACCTCACAAGTGGGCAAGGCAGGTCAGACGTTGTCCTCTGACCCTAGTAAATTCAACTGTCCACCTTCCCGGGAGCGATGCTGAGTCTGCCTGGGGTCACTGGCAAAGAGGGCATGGCACCCTACCCTACTGCTGCAGTGGAAATCAGGACCTCCACCCTCACCTGGGCGGAGAAAGACTATCAGAAAGCCACTCACTTAACCATATACCCCAAACCTGCAAACTTCCCTGCGTCCCCACCTGCTCCCTCCTTCCCTTGGTTTGGCACAGGAACCCAAGATTTCTCTCTCCATCCAAGTTCTTCGGTCCCTTTCTCTCTGCTCCCTTTTCTCTCCCCTCTGTCTTCAATGCCTCCCAGCTCCTTCCTATCAGCAGCAAAATATCGCAAGCTGCTCTAATAATTACAAGTGAAAAGTAACAGGTGCTTTTAGTGCCGTGTTAAGTGCTTTTACAGGCACCATCTCATCTAATCTTCACGTGAACCCTATGAGGCAGGTATTGTCATCTTCATCCCCGTTTTACGGAAAAGGGAACTGAGGCACCAAGAGGTTCAGTGACATGCCCGAGGACTCCCCGATAGTGAGTGGGGACTCGGGAGCCCTGAGCCTGTGTTCTAACCACACATGGTGCTTTAAAACGCCCTCTACCCTCATTCCACATTCCTCTCCAACATCTACACCTTCTCACTTTAACATAACTCCTAGAAAATACTGTCTACACGGACGCTCCGCTTCCTCACTCCAATCTCCATGGAACCATCTCCCCAAGGTTCTCAAGGTCGAGGGTGCCAAACGTCCGGGGCTTGTCCCAGTTTCTATCCAACCAGCCCTGTGGCCAGCACCTGACACGCCTCTTGGCCCCTCCTTTCCAGTTCCCTTCCTTGCTGTGGCTTCCTGTACCCCTTCCGTGCTCCCCCCGGCCCCACTTCTGTGGCTGCTCCTCCTTATGTCTCCTTGACCCCCTTCTCTTCCACTCTGAACCGCCATCAGTCCCATCTCTGCGCACCCCCCCCCCGCGGGCCCCGAAGACGCGGAGTCTCTGCACTGTACACCCGCGTCTCCCCAGCCTTCCACTTGTCCTACGGGGCGCAGCTGGACCAGACCCCACTTTCCCTGGGAGTTCCGGTGGGCCGCCCCAGGATGAGGTTGGGCTCCCAGCTTTGCGATCCCACCGCGTCCCGCAGCCGGAGCACAACCACCCCCCGCCCGGCTCAGTGATGCCGGATGACCTGTCCGTGTCCCCCAGCCCCGTTCGTGCGCCCCGCGCGGGCTGGTGACGGCCGTCTCGCCACCGCCACATCTCCGGATGCGTGCGCACCGATGGGAGCAGAGCGGCGCCCGCGACTATTCAAGGATGAGCCCCCGCAGGGCTGCCCCGGGCGCCCGCAGGAAGGGCGGGGGCAGCAAGTCCGGGGCAGGGCTCTGCAGCCAGGATTCCAGGTCCCGGAGGCGCGCGGGGAGGGGGCCTGCACTTGGGCAGCCCCCGCCCCCGCCCCAGAGAGCTGGAGCCGGGCTGTCCCGGGCGGGGAGCGCTGGGGCGGCGGCCGGGAGCCCCCGCAGTCCCGGGGTGGGTGGGGGCGGGGTGCAGTGCAACCAACCTTGGCGCCGCCGCCGCTTCCCAGCGGCCCGGCGGGAGCTTCCGGTGGCGCGAGGGCTCGGCCCAGGCGGCGGAAACCGGGGAGGGCAGGCCCGGGGCCGGTTCCTGCAGCCGGAGCCGCCTTTCCGAGGCGGTCTCGGGGGCGGGGCGAACGCTGCCCGGATGGGGAAACTCGCCCCTGGGCGGCATCCACGGCGTCGCAGGCTCTGTTTTTCCACTGAAGACTCACCTTCCGTTCGCCTTCTCCCCGCGCGAGTTCCTGGCACGTGTGTGGGACTCAAAGTGTTCGCAGACTAAACGAACACGGACCTGGGACTTGATCCCCCATCCTGTCCCCTGCCTGCCTGCAATCCCGCGTGGGGTGGGGCGAGCAGCAGCAAAACCCAAGTCTTAGCCCTCTTAGATTCCTGCAAGGTCCTAGCACAGTGTCAGGCTCGTCCAAGCTTATTGGGTTGGAGCAATCAGCGAAGAGATGTACAGAGCGGTTCTGAAGGCACGGGGCTTCCACAGAACTGGGTGTTTTCAGGAACCGTTTCTGGTTTTGTCTAAACACACACACAGCCACTTATTCCCTATGAATTTTGTGTATATCAATCAAAATAGTTATGGTACCTAGTGTTGGGGTAGAATTTTTGTCTAAAAGGTACAAACAACCTTTATTTTTGCGAATTTGATAAAGGCTCCTTCTCCATCAAGACCTAACATCTGCAGGACTGTTAGCTGAGGAAGGAGTGAGCCTGCCTACTTTGTTGGTTTTGTTTCCTTTCTGTGGCTCAGAGGCACCCATTACATTCTCTATGTATTAGGGTCCCATTTTTTGTCTTGACACCAACTGGAGTTGGGAACTGTGTTTTACTCCTTTGGTTTTGTTTGTTTTTAACCTGGGATGTATTTAAGCCTCTCACTCACCTGGGGCAGAACTCCCAGCTTCTGCCTGAGGAGCTGATGCTGCAGGATAGAATCCTCCTGGAGAAAGGAGGTCCTCGGTCCTACCTGGAGGGGAGGCGCCTGCCTGCAGACAAGCAGAGGGGCTCAGGGGCCTCCAAGACAGGCAATCTGTGGGACGCTGACCAGAGGTGGCTTCTGTGGTCACGTTCAATTCTAAGAGAAAAGGATTTAGAGCTTTGAGTCTCTGATTTAAAAATTCATTGATTCTCAGTGCAGTGGGACCTCTAAAAGCCCTTCTCTGCTCCCACCTCTCTCCCACCCGCCCCCTTCCTCCCTGCCCCGGGCCAGTGTAAGTGAGCAGGCAACCTGACTTTACTGTCTTCATGTGCCACATCCTGTTTTCAGATTAATGAGCTCATTTGGTGGAAATTTACCAAGGGAAATAGTTTAATTTTGGAAAGTACCAAAAACTTATCTGTAGTCACTCGACTTATTTTTGGGGGGTCTTGAAATAGAGGGGGCATCACCAGGGGACCTCTGAGCACCTCAGCAAGTGGCAAGCCTGCAGAAATCGAAAGCAGAGCCCAGTGAGGCTTAACCTGACTCAGAAGGGAATCGAAACCCTTTGGAGACCACTCATCTCTACCCAGTAAAAAAAAAAATTTTTTTCCCCAAAAATAAGTTTAAGAAGAAAAATAGTCCATCTGGCTAAGGCCTAAGATCTGGTGGTATGAACCTGGGGCCATGATTGGGGAACAAGAAAGCACACACAGGGAAGTAGGGAATGTTTGAGCCTCAGCAGTCCCACTCACATCCATAATCTGCTCTGCTTGTTCTACAAAGCACCAAAAGCTTTCCATTCTCCAGTTTTGCCCCAATCCTTCAGCTGTCAGGCTCTTGACATTGAAGTTGCCTGCTAGCCTTGTAGCCTTTTGAGCTTGTGACTCCTGCAAGGAACTAAGGACTGAGTGGCTAGGAGGACTATGGAAAATTAAAGTTTGGTGAGCCATTCTGCATTGAAGATGGTAGAGCACGTGTGACAAGGCCCGTAAGTGTCTGAGCACCTCCTGGCCTGCCCTGTTTCCTAGAGGAGAGATTTTTCATCCCTTCTGAGATGCAGAAGAGAAAAATGGTGAAAACTGACAAGGTGCTGACAGTTCAGTACTGGAATGAACGGAATTGTGTCTTCCTTCTCTGCCCCCATCTGAAATCCATAGTGATATTTTGGAGGACATATTTCTATTTTGGAATGAGCACTGGACTAGGAGTCAGGATACTTGTGCTCTTTTTTTTCTCCCTGCCACTAAAGTATTTGGGGGCGGTAGATAAATAGATGAATGCTTAAGCAATAATTCAAGAAATAATAGTCCATAGTTTTTTTGTTTTTGTTTGTTTGTTTTTTAGTGGAAAATGACCTTAAAGATCATAGAATGCATTGGGTTTTTTCAAAATTTGTATTAGCTGTGGGACTGTGTCTTCAAATGCTTTTTCACATAGAGCCCAAACGTACAAACCCGCTAGAAGCAAGGATTTTCTGTTAAGCGGAGCAGGCAGCTGGGAGCCTGTGCGCTGGGCTTCTCTCCTCCCTGTCCGGGCCTCTAGGCTCTAGGGACACGGTTAAAAAAATCATGGCTCTAATGAGATGCTCCCAGGTCCCAGAGGTGGAAACTGGGATTCTCTCCTGGGCTGGCTTGCCTCTAGTGTCCCAGCCGTTCAACCTTTTCTTCAATAACTGTGACTTTCCATGTGTTATAGTCCAGATGGGCATTGGAGGAGGGAAAGATTACATTGGCCTGGGTCATTAGCCTTCCAGGTGGTGAGGGGGCAGGACCAGATTGGAGCCTAAGCATCTAGAGGATTGAGGTCAGTGGTCATGGTAAAAATAACAGTGACAGTAATAGTGGCTACACTTTAATATCAGTCACAGTGACACTGCTCTAATCGGAGCACATCACATGCCTTCCTCCATTTATTAAGATCATCAAGAAGAGATGAGAAAACTGTTTTTCTCCTTTCCAAAAGCCAGGCCCCAGATTATAGCAGTAAATGAGGCAGACCGAGCTCCTGTTCTCATGACAGCTGCCTCCTAGATATGAACGCACCAGCTGAGCATATCCAGTCAGCTAATGCCAGCCATTTGGGCTGCTTCTGTTTGTCAGCAACCCTTAAAACGTGGAGCCCATAATGGGCTACTACCTCCTCTACTCATAAATACCAAACATTCCTCGTTTTGCCTCTATAGTCCTTCTTTTCATTGTCAGCTGCAGGCTTTGTCCCTGTCATACTCACAGCTTGTGTTTAGTGAAAACAATTAGTGAACAGCTTTCCTGCTAGCATCATCTAAACCTCCTCTGTCAACTTCTGGTTCCTGAACCAGGAAATTTAATTAAACATATGATTACATGTTATCAGTCACCTAGTAGATTAGAAGACCGAATTGTCCTGGGTTCCTCAACCCAAATTCAATACCTCCCCATGGTAACACACACAGCTGATACCAGCAATAAAACAAAGAAGTATACCAAATGATCTTGTAAAAACTGTAGCCTATAGAACACCTTCTCCGCTTCGGTGTGATGATTTAAAATGTCCCAAGTTTCCTTCTGTTAATCTCCATCTGGTTCTTACTATACTTATTATAACTGGCAATTTCTAAAATGTGCCTGTTTACAACTAGTTTTCTGCCCCACTAGACTATGTGAATTATATGAATATGAGAAATTAAGTTAATTAAAGGTGTTAAAGTAAAGCTGTGTCTGATTTCTTCATTGTTCTTTCCCCTGACTTAGCACAGAGGATGCTGTCAATAAACATTTGTTCAGTGAATGACTAATACTCAAGACACTATCCATAATCATTTTTACTTAAGGTAATAATCATTAATGATGATTTCACCATCATCACAAAATGTTTATTAAGTACCTTTGGCCTGGCCCTTTTCAGGGTGTTGTGAAGTTAGAAGTAGCATTCTAACAAAAATTTGAAAAGAAATCTGGGGTTCTTTTTTGAAGGGAGTTTCTATGTCTGGTGATTTTCCCTATCTCAGTAGATTTCCAGATTTTAAGGAAAGAAACAAAGCACCTCAGAAGTTTTTTGAATTGTAGGCTCCAGACCTGTCCCTAGGGGTTTTCCAATTATTTGTGGGGCTGGCCACTTTGAAAGTGCCATGGGGATTCCACTTTGTGATGGAGGTACCAATGACACTTACGGGGATGGTAAAGTGGTCCAGGTAAAGAGCTTGGCAGATGGACCCTTTGATAAAGACAAGCTCTTAAGAGGCCAATAATGAGGAAGGCAGACAACTTTGGGTCAATGCTGGTCAACCTGCTGCTTCTCTTTGCCATCTCTGGCCACTTGTGTGCCTTGTTCTAAAAGTTTGCTTTTGCTACGTGTCAAATTCCTTCTTTCATGGACTCTGGCAATAAAGACTCTTCTTATTCATTTATTTAATTTTTTTTGCGGTACGCGGGCCTCTCACTGTTGTGGCCTCTCCCGTTGCGGAGCACAGGCTCTGGACGCGCAGGCTCAGCGGCCATGGCTCACAGGCCCAGCCGCTCCGCGGCAAGTGGGATCTTCCCGGACCAGGGCACGAACCCGTGTCCCCTGCATCGGCAGGCGGACTCTCAGCCACTGTGCCACCAGGGAAGCCCTAAAGACTCTTCTGAAGGTGGGTGCCTGGACCTCCAATGCCTTTTACTGGGTTACAGAATTATTGCTCTTCCTTCACACTTACATTTGTGAGGTTGGGTTTCCCGGGCTCTTTGCTGGATCAGATCAAGAATATCTTGATGTTCTAGCCCCAAAGCAGTTGATATCTGCCTGAGGAGCAATGTATCCTGGGGGTCCTCCTCTCCCTCTGTCCTGAGGACTCAGCCTGAGAGAGAAAAATCAGTGAGTGAACAGAGCCCTTACTCAGGAATCAAGAGATCTGCCTCTGACATTGACTTCAGGACTGTGGGGAAAGTCCATCCCATCCTTGGGCCTCCTTTTTCCCATCTGCAAAGTGGGGGAATGACCTCA